GGAGCTCACTGAGCCCTGAAGCACCGAGGGTGGCAGGGTTATCAGTGACTCTCCGTGAGGGCACTGAGGAGGATCGGGCACCGTATACTGAGGTGTTATCCTTTCCTCCCCAGGAGGGGCTGCCCTCAGGGGCCTGAGGATGTTGGCGTCAGGACCGCTTAGTCGAGGTCCTCTTCGACAAAATAACGTTCCGCAGATCAGTCTTCGGTCTAGAGGACCCTGACTGAGAGCGTCGCCCCGACCCCCGTTCTTTTTGCGGAGGGGTGTGGGTTGCAACGCTCTGTTTTTGTGACTGGCGATATGAGGAGCCGGCCAGACATCAAACACGGCCAGGCAAGAGTGGAGCGTGCGCAGCGAGAGCAGCTCGCAGTCATGACAATCAGCCTCCTCGGGAGCTGACCGTGCATGCTCCGCTCCCAAACAAACGACACACAAATCGTGTGTATCCCCTGCCATCAGATATCGTGGGCAGGGAGGCACACAGCGTTTGTACTGCCGTTCGCTCGCCATAGACTTTCTCATTGTTTTATATACTGTATATGAGTGCTTGTGCGGACAGACAACAGTAAATAGACAGACACATACACAGAACGCTACTGAAGAGCAGAAGCTGGTTTGTGCTCGGCCGGATGCGCTTTTATGCTTTCTAGTGCTTATGTCACCCTGCTCGTGACGTCTCGCTGCTCCATTGGACAGATTTGACACGTGCTTCAGAACGCGGTCACGCAAGGGCGTTCCCAAAGCAATCTCGACGCAGCTCGAGTTCCTGAAGGGGAACCACTGATTTCTAGTTGTGTCCTCTTTTGGAAGACCAAACAAAGCAGTTTCGCTTTCACAATGAAACACAGCGTCACCACGACATGATGGCGGCAGCAACAACAATACTACAGCGAGAATCAAAGTTACGCCGCCTTTCTTTGCGTGAACATTTGGGTGGTGTTATGCAAATCTTCCCACACAGTGATGTAGACATGTGGGGGCATGTTTAACCGAGGCATTTTAGGAGGGCGTGGACGAGTCTTAACTTTTATAAAGAATATCTCTTTGGGTTTGAGACTTTAGTCTTTGCAACTTTAGGGATCTTATCTATGCACGAACAACAGACCAAAGAGAAAGGAAAACTTGAAATTGCATCATATGACCCCTTTAAGTAATGAATTGGGAAATGTTTGCCATACAGAAAATACCTTAAAAGACTAGAAAAATAAAGAAAACAAATTCGTATAATCCAATATCTAACAGCCAGGTTTATAAACTTGCCCTATAGATTTGTTCATTGAAATGTTGTAGATATCACTCTTTTATAATGTGCCAATAATTGCATTGTTAATTGTTTCAAGTCGTAAAATATCAAATCGCCGTTCATTGTTAAAAATATTCAGTGGGATCTTAACAATTTCAGATATAAATAAATGTCTTTCCGTTGTTTGCAAATTGATACACTGGTTTGGAAATAATTTGCGGGTCCTTTATATAAATAGAGCAACAGAACAACATGTGTTAGCAGTAAGGGAAAATCAAACAACTGGTCAGAGCGGCTAGAGAGCGGCTGAATATAATTATGCCTTCTTTTTCTAAACAACTCTCAAAAAGATTCAATTCCCACGTTGTCTGCTCTTATTGAGGGCATCTTGTGATAAAAATTGGCAGCTAACATTTCTTTTGTTCAGACAAACAGATTGGATGATGAGTTTTCTGTGATGTGGCAGGTTACATATTAGAATGGCTGTGTTGAGAACTTAATGTAGGAGTGAGAGATCCAAAGATTAAAATAAGGATTTGAATGGTTATTTGCTAACACTTTAGGGAACACACATTTACTATGAACTAAGAGTTTTCCCAAAATAAACTCCTAATTTGCTGCTTATTGCTAGTAAGTGAGGTAGTTGTTGTACTAGTTATGTTTAGGTACTGGGAAGATGTATGAGTACTAATAAACAGCCAATAATAAGATGCATGCTAATAAGCAACTAATTCATAGTAAATGGTGTTTCTCTAATTTAAAGTGTTACCTTTTTTATATCACATTATTTCAAATGTGGGCACAGAGTTCATGTGAAATGCAGTTTGCAAATGATTTTACTTTTATAAAATGACATATTTCAGAGGAAACAGAATATTCAACAAGAAAAGGTTTAGGGTGGACATTTATTGGATCAAAGTGGGCATTATATACTAAAATGGGGGCTGATGGATGGATGGATGATACTATAGATGGATGGATGGATGGATGGATGGATGAAATTATGGAGCTCAGAGCTAAGATGTTATTCACATGCTTAGTTTTAATATAAAATCTCTGTCATTTTTATTGTGGGGGCAAAATATATAATGCAGTGATGATCGAGAGATGAGCAAATAAATATCCCTCAAATGCCTGATGTATCATATTTGATACTCACATTTTAACATGATTTTTCTAAACAAGTTGCTGCAGTCCAGTAAGTGAAATATTGCTAACAATATAAGTTATTCTTATATTTACTTTATAAAAATCAATAAAGATTGCACCGCAAAACGACATGTGAACCACAACCTGAAGGGAGAAATTTTTACAACTATAATAATATGCCTTTTACTTGCTAAAAAAGTATAAACTGCCAATCGAAATCCAGAGGTCATATATCATTTCATTTATAAAAGGTAGATAAAATTATTTTTATTTAATTTTGGCAGTCATTTTCACAAACCCTCTGCAGTTCCATCATGAACCTGTAGTATTTTTAGATGTATTGAATACTAATGACTGTGAAAGTTGCATGCAAACTGAAGCTTCATGATGAGTTTAAAGCAGCAGAGAGAATCAGTGTTTACTCTCCATGTGAATGTAAACATGGCACAATATGACTGTAATCATGTTAGACTTTCTCATCTCTTGACCTGAGGATTCTTGATTAGTCTTGACACCGCGGCTTACTGTAATTGAACATGACTCATTACTGTAGTTAATTGCAGCATCACGCAAACAGTATTTAACTAATCATCACAGTCCCAGAAATCAAGACTAGAGGATATTCAGTGGCAGATGATGCATGCTGTGTTTTATATGGAAATTATGACATGAGTTGGACTGTGGACCCCTTGAGTAAATTTGCTGCTTATTATACATGTCAAAATCATTTGGTTTTTAAAAATGAATGCGCTTTTATCTGATAATGCTTCTCATTTTTTGAGATGTGATTAGGAATATGGCTATTAAAAGTAAACGGCATTACTTTTAAGTAAACATTATAAGTGAATTTGGGTTCTCCCCAGGTGAAGTACGCTGGCCTTAAAGACACAGTGATGCAGTTCATGTTTTACCAGCCTATTCGCTACCAGTGGAGGGAAACTGACTTCTTCCCCTGCTCTGTCACCTGCGGAGGGGGTAAGTGTTATAGATTGATTAGATACAGTGATTTTTAATCATTCCCAATGGTTTGAATTCACTAAAAGCACTCGTTGGCCCACCTACAGTTATGATGCTTTAAAATCTGGAATTTGACAAGCCAATAATCATTTTCAGATTATGGCTGATTACTGATAATGAATGATCAAATGATCAAATTCTTCACTATTTTGTCTAAATGAATGAAAAATAAAAGAGATGGCATAAAAGAGAATCAGTGATTTTGAATGCAACAAGTTAATTTTAATCACAAAATTTGAATGTACCATTGTTATAGCACTTGTGTATCATTGCTCTTTTGTTGATTTTGATTGCTTCCATTCCATGGTATATGCATTATCGTTAAAGATTTGGGGTCAGTAAGACTTTATACTTTAATAAATTAATACTTTAATACTTTCATTAATCATAGATCAAACATTAAATAGATCAAAAGTGACAGTTAAGCAGATTATTTTGGTATCACTGAGACACTATTTTCAGATTTTATTAATATTTTGAATTTATGCTTTTGTTTCAGTGTTTTTATTTTTATATTTTCTGCTTTCATTTTAATATTAGGTAAAGTTTTAGTAGTTTAGTTTTTTTTTGTAATTTTTCTTAGTTTTTGTTGTTTAAAATGTCTAAGATAAAGTAAATAAAAACTAAATAAATAAGAAATGCCTTGGCAACTAGCATAATTACTGTATATTATATTATATATCAGTTAAAGTTTATTTTATTAAGTGTTTAATAAGTAAGTCTTTGTAAGTTTTACAAAGTTTGCATTAAGTAGTAATGTAGTAAGACAGTGATATTTAAAGGCCAAATTCAATATGCACCTTATTAATGATGCATACTCTGTCCAGGCAAGCAGATGAACCCAGAATATAAGCGCAGAGTTTAATATTAAATGTTTTCCCCATAGAACACCATTATAAAGAAAACACTTAAACCATTTAGCGCATTGCGTTCATATTCTGGGCTCATTTGCTTGCCTGTATAAAGCACTGAATGCAAATTCTGTGTACTGAATTTGATCTTTTAATATCACTGTGTTAAAGGCACTTTAAGTGTTTTCACATTAAATGTTTTAGAATGTCCCGCTGTTTTTAGTGATTGAAATATTGCGGCAGGTGCTTTATATGGATTGCTAATGGCCAAAATTCGCATTTTGTTCACATACCGTTGTTTTTATTCTTTTGAGAGGTGATCTAAATATTTTTGGATTGGAATAGATTGACAGACTTGTGCTGCAGTTCTATGGATATTTTTGCCCGCCAGGTCTTCGAGCCAGTCACGTGACTGAAAATTATGAATAAGAAGAAATGTTTCTTGAGCATCAAATCAGCATATTAGAATGATTTCTGAAGGATCGTGTGACACTGAAGACTGGAGGAATGATGCTGAAAATTCAGCTTTGCATCACAGAAATAAATTACATTTTACAATATATTCACATAGAAACCAGTTATTTTAAATTGCAATAATATTTCACAATTTTACTGTTTTTACTGTAAATGTGTTCGCCTTGTTGACACCTTCACATTATTACATTACAACATATTTCATAACAAAGTTACTACTTATCTACTAAATATGAAGTGTGTAATATTGGTGCAGGTGGGAGCAGAACCCGTGGACGTCGTGTTCGGTGTCGTGTGGAGGAGGTTCTCAGGAGAGAAGCGTGGGGTGTGTCGAGGAGGACGTCCATGGGCAGATCGTGCAGGTCGAGGAGTGGAAGTGCACACACTCTCCTCGACCAATCAGCAAACAGAACTGCAACACCTTTGAGTGTCCGCAGTGGATGGCCATGGAGTGGTCTCAGGTGAGTGACCTTTACTGACCTCTTCTTCCATTTCTGATGACCATTGACCATCTATAGCTCTGTTCTACAACCTAATAAGCTAAAAAATACTGAATACTGAAAAAATTATGACACCATAATGAGTAGCCTGTCTTTATGACTATATTTATTTGATGTTTATGTTTATTTTGATTTATATATATATATATATATATATATATATGAGCTGCACAATTGTTTTCAACTGATAATAAACAGTAAAGCAGATTATTTTGGTATCATTGAGAGTAGGGCTGCACGATATTGGAAAAAACTCACATTGTCATATTTTATTTTTCTGCAATATATTTTGCGATATGAAAAAAAAACACCCCAAAAACCAAAAATCAGCAGGCAAGTAAATCAACATAGCAAATAAACAAATTACAAAGCATAGATAAATAACAGAACAAGGATACAAATGAAATAAGCAGTGCTTTATATTTTTCAGGTAAGCCTAACATTATTCAGGCACAGAAATTGAATAATCAAATGTAAAATAACACTGCATAGTCTTCACTGTATAAATCAAATCTAATAAATCTGTGTTAAAGCGCCAAAAGTGATTTTTCTTTGTTTTGTTGTTTGATTAACATTCATAACACAGAAAGCCTCAGGAACATTAAACTGCTGTAAACCAATATACTGTAACACATCCATTTTCTTTCTCAATTGTTTTAAATGCAAAATTGATTTTCGTGCGCTCGAAATACTTTCTTCTTTGCGAGACAAACATTTTCTCCACAAAACTCGAACTTTTGCGCACTCAAAATATGATCTTTCGCATGCTGTATTGCGGCAGAGATGTAATCCCATACTCGGGAGCTTGCGCTTTCTGGCGTCTGCCGTTGCTAAGCAACCGTGACCTGCGCTCTCCACGACGACGTGGAAGTTTCAACAGGATAAATGGATTTCCAGCACTGAAAATCGCGTGCTCTGCTACTAAATGTATTTAAAATGGGTATCTCTGTACAGCTGTCGCGTCCGGTGTAGACACCGTGTCTGTGTGTGAGCAAAGAAAACAATCAGTATAAATATAACGATCAGTAGCCTATACTAAACAAGCGGAACTAAGCGGATGCGCACATCGCGATATCGATGCTGAAACGATATATTGTGCAGCCCTAATTGAGATGCTATTTTTAATTGGGTTTTATTTTTATATTTTCTGTTTTCGTTTTAGTTTTAGTTACATTTTTAGTAATTTTGTTGTGCGTGTTTGTCATTTTAATCAGAAATATTTCTTGAGCACCAAATCAGTGTATTAGAATGATTTCTGAATATTAGATATTATCTAATAAAAATATCTAATATACAATAGATATTATATAATATTAGAATTTAAATATATGATAATACATTATTTCTGAAGGATCATGTGACACTGATGACTGGAGTAATGATGCTGAAAATTCAGCTTTGATCACAGGAATAAATTACATTTTAAAATATATTTAAAATCCAAACAGTTATTTTAAATTGTAATAATATTTCACAATGCTGTTTTTCCTGTATTTTTGATCAAATAAATCCAGGCATGCTGAGCAAAAGAGACTTCTTTGAAAACCTTTTTTTTTTTTTTAAATCAATACATCTTACAGACCCCAAACTTTTATTTTCACATATTTTCACTTTACTCTTGGCATACATAAGCAAATTTCAGTTAAATTGTAATTTGTATAGTGCTTTCACAGCACATATTGAATGTAATATGATCACATATCAGCACGTCTGGACTGCTCCATGTATTTGTTTGTGGTTTTGTATCCAGTGCACGGTCACCTGCGGCCCAGGCTTGCGGTACAGAGTCGTGTTGTGTGTGGATCACAGTGGGCAACACACTGGCGGCTGCAGTCCCCACCTCAAACCCCATATCAAAGAGGACTGCCTGGTCCCCGTCGCCTGCCACAAACCACGAGGTACAAACAACAATAAAGTGATCTTTTAAAAAGATCCACATTCGAGTGAGCTACTTTACTCCCTACTGCCTACATAGTCAGCATCTTCACTGAAATAGAACCGTATACAGTATGTGGATTTTGAAACATTCTACATAGGCAGGGACTGCACATGTGAAAAGATTTAATTCCATCTCATTTTGATGTTAGCATATTGCTAAGCTAACTACATGATGCTTTAATACAGTGGTTTTCAACTGTTCAGACTCAAAGGCCCCTCATTGTCAAAGACAATATTTGAAGGCCCCTAAAAATATTTCTAACACTTCTGCTGTAATCACAAAACTGCTCATTTTCAAACTTTTTTTTATTTAAAGAAACTAGGAGTGGCCATTTAAATGGTTATTTTAATATTTATATAAATATTGTCAATTATTTATAATAATGATATTTAATTAAAATGATTAAATAAAACAATTATAAATAATTCAAATAATTACATTACATGATTCCAAAAGTGAATGTTCTTCATAGTTTAAACTTTTTATTATCCATAAATTTACACAACTTTTCTAGTCATTTGTGATTACAGTTTTTTTTATTTTATTTTCCCTCATAAATAGCAATTTTTTATCTAATAACAGCTTGACAGAGTTAGAAAATGTATATTTCATTTAAATAAATAAACAAATATTTAATTTAATAAATTTTTTTAATTAAATTTTTTTAATTATTATTTTATTAAATTTTTTTCTTATTATATTTTGTATTTAAAAAAATATATATATTTTTATATATATATATATTTTATTTTATTACATTTTATTTATTTATTTTTTTTATTTTTTTTCATGACCAGGTCTAGAATTCACACATTTAAGAATCACGTATATATCCAGGTTTGTCAAAGACTCTAAAAATCCTTGGTTCTTAAATAAAAATGACAGTTGTTGAGGGAACAAATTAAAAGATGAAATATGATATGAAATATTTCTCGAACATTTTTCATAGACCTTGTCGCAATGCGTTCTCGGAGAGTCTTGGTGAATTGTACATTCAGTGCTGCCTTCTTTCTCATAAGTTTTTTTGTCGAATCAAACGATGTAATACTGTGATTCATCGTAGCTGCTTAGTTTCATTCAAGGCTTTGATCTCTTTATGGAAGAATTTTCTTAAAATGCCTTCATAGAAAATAAATGGGAAATAAATCTGGAGCCAAGGTCGCTGATAAAGTGAGCAGTCACTGTTTAGCTCCATTCATCTTCTAATAAAAACTAACATTAAATCGTTGATATGATTGAAATGCTGTCAGAACTTATTTGTTTCAGGGAAGCATTTAAAGTCTCTGTTCCAAAACCTAGTAATAAAATTATGCTGCCCTTTAAATAACACCATTTTGCAGCATTGCATGTATCTATCACAGAGAATATAATGAGAATGTGCAGTGCAAAAAAATCTGTGATAGTGAACTGCAGGAAAGAAACGTTTATCATTTATGTAATTTGTATTTGAATGAGGTACAGAATTGCTGACTGCATAGAGCAGGGCTGCCCAAACTCGGTCCTGGAGGCCGGTGTCCTGAAGACTTTAGCTCCAACCCTAATTAAACACACCTGAACCAGCTAATCAAGCTCTTACTAGGCATACTAGACACTTGAAGGCAGGTGTGTTGAGGCAAGTTGGAGCTAAACTCTGCAAGACACCGGCCCTCCAGGACCAAGTTTGGGGACCCCTGGCATAGAGTCTTCCATCTTAGTGTAGGATGTTACCTATGTAGGCAGCAGGGAAGCTCACTAGCCAAAGAGGTCTCCATTAGGGAGCAGTCAGTGCCTACAGCTGTCAGACAGGAGAGAGGAGTGTTTGCCGCAGACAGACGCTCATGAAATAATGTGTGATCTGAATATGAAATGCTCCAGAAGTGCAGACCGACACCGTGAGCTCATCGAGAGTCAGTCACGGTGCGTTTTAGAGCAGTTTCTTGCTGTGGAGTTAATTAATACCTGAGACTTCTCCCTGTAAGTTACTTTATTTTCCTGTCAGATCCCTGTTCCTTCTGACAGGCGCGTTTCCATTACCCTTCAAATTGTGCAAATTGGAATTGCTAATTGAAAATACGCCTAATGGGAACGCGTCAATTTTGCAAAAAATGGCCATATATCGCAAAAAAGTTTTTACGCTCGCATGAGGTGGTTTTTCAGGCAATGCGAAAAAGGATTAATTCGCAAAACTGCAATGGAAACGGCTTTTTCGCATTTACAGGTCACATGGCGTATGTAAAAAGTCATATGATCATTCTTCAATGTACTATAACCTCCAAGAAACACTTCATAAGTGGCCGCGCTCCAGTATAAGGGGCTTTCCCTACTATTAATACTTAGACAATTTACATTGCACACGTCTGCGGTGCAGTGTGGCTCTGATACGGTCACTGAAGCTGATTACGGCCACTCAATGCTTGTGTTAATGTTTTTATACAGTCTATGGTTATTCCAGCCACGCCACACACGTTTCTGAAGCGGCTCTCTTTGCTGCTTCTGTAAAGATACACGCATAAGCCTCCTTTGAATAAATATAGCCAAAATCCGTCAAAATCCCACCAAAATCCGTTGCCATGACTTCTCGCGAGAGGCAAAAGGTTACGTTTTAGCCGCATTACATTGGTTAATGGAAATGCCGTCATTTCGCAATACTTTTTTATTGACATTCAGAAAATATTGCCAAAGTTTTGCACAAATCTGTAATGGAAACGCACCTACTGTCTTTCCCGGAGAAGAAAACATGAGAATTAAATCTCTTTTGAGATCTCATTATGATCTCTGTTGTTTTCCCTAGCCACCAGTGAAATAAAGTAAAATTAGTGAATCAATAACTACAATTTACTTTTCATATCAGAAATTAATTCAACAAGTGGTTGAAAATAAATAAAAATGTCATTAAAAAGACCACAGAGCTATTAGAATGTTAGTTAGAATGTTGTTTTGAATAATGAATTCTGAAAAGTGAAATGAATTGTGATTGACTTTATTATTACTGTTGAATGGATGTATGGCTATGACTGTGATTGCATTATTTATGTGACAAAATGAAAAAAAAAAACATTCAACAAGCGGTTCAATTTGAGTCCATGATCCACAATGTCCATAAATATAATTCACTTTATTTATAAATATTTTAACATAGTTTAACATTTCTTTACTTACACACTTGGATATATATATATATATATATATACACAAAATACAAAAACAAGAAATATAAAATATATATATATTACATGAATATGTAATATATATATATATATTATATTTCTTGCTATAGTGTTAGGAAAACAAAAATAAAATAAAAAATATGCACATATTACATGAATATGTGCATATTTTTTATTTTATTTTTGTTTTCCTAACACTATAGCTCTGTACTCCTGACAACATTTATTCTATTCTATTCTATTCCATCCAATCCAAAGCTATTTTTGGAGAAACATCTAAGTTGAAGCATGACTGATAACTCTTTTAAAAAGAGCAACCTCGGTTCAATAACACTTTTTCATCTGGTTCTCTCCGTGTGACCGTGTCTTTTCTCACTTAAATATGTTACGTCTTTTTGGCAAGACACACTTGTCATGAAGTCTTGTGTAATTAGTTCAAGCAATTTGTCTGAGTACATGTATAAATTGCACTTTTTTTCATGCCAAGTCATGCCAAACACAGTCCCGTCTGCTCATGAATCAAACGTCCTTATTCGAGACAGAAGACATGTGAGGCACATAACAGGAGGTGTTTGTCATCTAGACGTCTAACACTTTCCTCCTCACACGTGTTTTACATTTACAAGCTTTGCTTAAATCCTCCAAATTTTCATTGAAGGAATGCTTCACCCAAAAATGAAAATTCTGTCATCATTGAATCACCATAATGTCGTTCCAAACCTAAAGAGCAGCTTGAAGATCCCTTATAATTCTCCTTTTGTGTTCCACTGAACAAATGCACAGGTTTGAAATGAAATGTGACCCTGGACCACAAAACCGGTCTTAAGTCACTGGGGTATATTTGTAGCAATAGCCAAAAAAACATTGTATGGGTCAAAATTATCGATTTTTCTTTTATGCCAAAAATCATTAGGATATTAAGTAAAGATCATGTTCCATGAAGATATTTTGTAAATTTCCTACCGTAAATATATCAAAACTTCAGTTTTGACTAGTAATATGCATTGCTAAGAACTCCATTTGGACAACTTTAAAGGCAATTTTCTCAATATTTTGATTTTTTTTGCACCCTCAGAATCCAGATTTTCAAATAGTTGTATCTCGGCCAAATATTGTTCTATCCTAACAAACCATACATCAATGGAAAGCTTATTTATTCAGCTTATTTATTCGAAAAATTGACACTTAAGACTGGTTTTGTGGTCCAGGGTCACAAATGAGAGTGGGTTTTTGAGTGAAGTGCACTGCCTTTTGAAAGTTCGGGTTGAGTAAGATTCTCTTTATTACTTTTATTCAGCAAGAATGCATTAAATTGATCTAAAGTGACAGTAAAGACATGGCTTCTGCAAAAATATTAAGCATATGTTTTCAACATTAATAATAATAATAAATGTTCTTGAGTAGCATATAATGCATATTAGAATGATTTCTGAAGGATCATGTGAAACTGAAGACTGGAGTAATGCTGAAAATGAACAGGAATAAATTAAATTATAAAATATATTCAAATAGAAAACAGTTTTGAAATTGCGAGAATATTTCATAATATGACTTTTTACAGTATTTTTGATTACATAAATATAGCTAATGTGCTGAGAATTAGAGACATTTCAAAAACATCTCTCCAACCCCAAACTTTTGAACAGTAGTGTATTCCTTTAAATGTAATATCAGCCAAAATTCAAGAAACCGTAATCAGAAACATCTGTGCGCTTTTTTCACCAGTAATTCTGTTCGAATCAATCAATTCCACACTTAACTTGAGACTGACATGCTTGTAAAAACTCAGTGGGTTGAAATGACAGAGGCTCCATCGCCTGCTATTTCATCTCGACCTTCCCGCACGCCAAATCTGAGGACGTCTGCCATCAGAGAAACCCAGAAACCCAGACTGAAGAGCCAAACCCTGAGCCCTGGGCATGTTCTACTGCGAAACTTTACTGCTGTCACCAGCAGCTGTGATAATCCTGTTCCAGATCAATAAATGGTTGCTTGCATAAATATTTGGTTGTCACATGGAGATTTATGTTGAGCTTTATTAGCTGTCTTTGGGTTGGGGGTTGGAGGGGAAGCAGCCGGACTCAAACTAGCTTTGTAATCTTCAGTAAGACGTATGACCCAGTGATGGTACTACAGATGTTCGGAGCAGGAAGGGTTTCTGGTGAAATGTGAGTGTCCCTTGGCACTGATCTTGCACCGACTTGGCTTTCTCTATCTTTTTGTCATCTTTTATCTGACACTTTCCTCCAAAACAGTTTACAGAACACTTAATACCGGGACAGTCCTCCTCGGAGTAACCTGAGGTTGTGCGGTTTGTGGATTACCACTTACAGGGCTTGAACCTACAACCTTTTGGTTATCAGCCCAGATCTTTGATTTGATTTTTCCACACCATCCTCAACTAATCACCTCTGATATGTAGCCAAGCACCACTTTTTACAATTATGAACCTCAAAAATGATATAATTTTAGATTTTTTCATATCTGAGATTAAATGCTGTACTGTGGTTAGCTAGTCTTTCAATACATACAAAAAGAGCAGTTTCTGTTGTGTATTAGCTGCTGGTGTGCTAGTGCTCCCATCAGACTTTTTTTTAACTAGCTTAACCAGAAGGTTTTGCAGCATGGTCAAAGCCACATTAACCAGCATAGTTCAGCATGAAAATGCATACTTGTATAATATGGCCTTTTTTAGTAGAGTTGATATTTTTTGCAGTTTTAGTTAGACCAGACTTGGTAATATCTGTCAATATAGAGGAAGACGAGTTTAATTGCTCTGCTTGATGCATGCTTACTTTTTTGATTAACAGTAATGTTGTCTTATATTGTGTTTGTTTGTTTGTTGCTTTCTCAGAGAACCAACCTGTTGAAGCCAAGCTGCCATGGTTGAAACAGGCTCAAGAGCTGGAAGAAATCAAAGTAGCCTGGGAAGACCCAACGTAAGTTTTTTTTTTAAAGTTATGTTATATTGTACATTATATAGTCACATGAACACTTCATTGCTGCTTTCTCTAGGACTGGGTAATATTCAAGGGTGAATATTTAAAAAATAATTATGCTGGTTTGACAACACAAAATTAAGCAAAATATTGAATAGTGTCATAATTTTAATTCACTTTTTCATTTGGCCATCAATATCCCTAAAAAGCATGGCATTAGATTAATTGTGTAAGTATGAGAGCATTTTAGACAAGCCCTCTATGTTTTTGTTTATGTGTTTGAAAGCAGTTTCTCATGCTCACCAAGGCTGCATTTATTTGATCAATATAAAATATAGTAAAATTGTAATATTGTAAATATTACAGTTAAACATAACTGTTTTCTATGTGAATGTGTTTTAAAACGTCAAGCTAAATTTTCAGCCACCTGAATTTTCTGTCACATGATCCTTCAAAAATGTTGAAAACAGTACTGCTTAATTTTTTTGTGGAAACCATGATCCACATATAAATTTATGTATGTTTGTATTTAAAACATGAACCCAAACTTTTGAAAGATGACGTATTTTAATGATGTCTTTAAGCGGCAATAAAAGTGTTGAGATTGTTTGTTAATTTATCAGACGATTGTTCCTCATATTACATAAAGACATTCATTACATAAATTACATTCTTTTTTGGAGGAGAGGGAGGGGATATTATCAAAAGACTGGAAAATATCTGTATTGTTGAATATTATAGCTGCATCTTCCAGCCCTATCGTTCACTCACTACTGAGTATTTCTAGGTCATTTGATTCTATGGGGTCATAAGATGTCATTATGTCATGTAGACAAACATTACCTCTCCTCCTCTGATTTATTGTAAACTAAACCTGTCCAATATCTTTGTGTGAGTTTATCCAGCAGACAGTGATTCAGTACTGGCTTCATCCTTAGCATTCAGTTAGTTACTGTACAAACAGGCTCACATGGAACTGGAGGAAGTTCAAGAGAAAGGTTTAAAACTTTCAACACAATTGGAATGTTCATCACTCAGGAAGATCAACAAAAGTTTATTTTGTTATTTTGGTTAATATGATTTTGCTTTCAGCTATGAAAACTAAATATAGTGTACTAGTATACTTTTAGTTCCATTTAACACATATTAAGACAAATCCATTCTGCATAATTCGGCAGACTTTTCCAGAGATTCAGTGCAGAAAATACGGAAAAAGTCTGCAGATTCCGTCGGGGCTTCGCTACAAGTGTCTGAATAAACATATAAATCAATCCTTTCCCTTTTATAACCAATAATCCACTGAACCGTGAATCCTCAGGTATCCCAAGACAGTCTCGCCACATCCTATGCATTGCAACTCAATACAGTCAGGTATTTTTTTCATTCAGAAATATTCTCGACCTGTAGAGATGAATCCTTTCACCTGTTACTCAGGATTTCTGGTGACTTCACAGGAGTGTTCTGTTTACACGGCGGCAGTAAAAATACATTTGATCCCACTCTGTTCAACCAGAACTGGACAAGAATCAGGCTTCATTAGTTGGTTCTTTATCCGAATAAAATGACCACTGAAACCAGTGTTGAGCGTGTCTGCATTCCGACCTCTGTGTGTCCAGTTTCCTTTCATTGCTTCAACAAGGCCCCACGGGCCACTCTCGCCCCCTGTTGTGGTATTATTAGAGTTATCCCCCCCTCCCCGTCTCTGAAATGATACCCCTGTTAATAGTTGGCAGGGGAGCTTGATGGACCCCCACTACCCCCACTGAAAGCCACAAAATGCGGGCTGCTAACATCCAGACAGCCACTGCTCCCTGCGGTCTACCAAAGGCATCCATCACAGAGACTCATAAAATGGAAAAAAATGAGGGGTGAAAGTGTTTAAGGGTTTACAGAACAGCCATTAAAGAACGCTTCAGTTCATATACATGCATTTGGGGGGTGGTTAAGATCTACCATTTGTCTGCAAACCCTTCTTAAATTACACTCTTGAGCAGAGTATCACTCCAGGATAGCACCACTTTTTTGCATTCTGCTCTGTTGCTCAAGTATCTAAATTTAGGGTGATCTAAGGTGGCGTGCATCAGGGCTCGGTACTCAGCCCTATCTCAGAGAGCCCAGTCCACTTTGCTGTGGAATTCACGGCTGGACGCTTGCCTCTGTGATTTGGGTGGGCGGATTATGTGGGTTGGATGTAGTTGTGGAGTCTCACGCTACATCTTATCCCTGCTTTGATACACTGATACTGATACACTGACTTCTATTGTCATTTTTTCTACACTGTAAAAAGTGCTTCTGTACTTTTTTGTGAGAATACTGTAAGTTAAATGGAATCATTTTGAATTTAATAAAACATTAAATAATTTTTTTTTTATTATATTTAATTTATTTATTGTTTTTTTATTATAGATGTATGTGTATATATATATATATATATATATATATATATATGTGT